TCACATTCAGCTCTTTTCAAGTCCTTTATTATGCAGGAAGTACCAAACAACGCTGGAACTTTGAAATTTTACCCAAAAAGAGAGGCTAATATTGGGTAGGAGCTACTCACCTATGACACCTCACCTGACATTATCAAAAGAAAGCGACACTGCTTGAGTAATTAAATTTTTATTCCTTTAAAAGTATAAGTAGAGCACAAAAATACATTTCTACCTCCCACAGCTTTTATCAAGCTGTCAGGTCCTCCATAGCTTGCTGTTAACTGAGTCATGAAGGGAAAAATATCTAAAGCAGGGGAAATGTGTGAACCCTTGCTTGAGGATGCACTTGGTCATTCAGTGAAAAACCAGAAAAATTTTGGACTACTCCTGGTCAGTTCAGCTGCAAACTCGGTATCACAGAATCACAGAATATCAGGAGTTGGAAGGGACCTCGAAAGCTCATCCAGTCCAACCCCTGCCAGAGCAGGATCACCTAGACTAGGTTGCAGAGGAATGTGTCCAGGCGGGTTTTGAATGTCTCCAGAGAAGGAGACTCCACAACCTCACTGGGCAGCCTGGTCCAGTGCTCTGTCACCCTTACAGTAAAGAAGTTTTTCCTCATCTCCAGGTTGAACCTCCTATGCTCCAGCTTGGGACCATTGCCCCTTGTCCTGTCAATGGACATCACAGAGCAGAGCCTGGCTCCTTCCTCCTGACACTCGCCCTTTACAAATTTATAAACATTAATGAGGGCACCCCTCAGTCTCCTCTGCTCCAAGCTCAAGAGCCCCAGCTCCCTCAGCCGCTCCTCGTAAGGGAGATGCTTCACTCCCGCCATCATCTCTGTGGCTCTGCTGGACTCTTTCAAGCAGTTCCTGTCCTTCTTGAACTGAGGGCCCAGAACTGAACACAATATTTCAAATGTGGTCTCACCAGGGCAGAGTAGAGGGGAAGGAGAACCTCTCTCAACTGACAACCACATCCCTTCTGTTACACCCCAGGATGCCATTGCCCTTCTTGGCTCAAGGGCACATTGCTGGCTCATGGGCATCCTGCTGTCCACCAACACCCCAGGTCCTTTCCAGCCACTCGTCCCCTGTAGCGTCCATGGGGTTATTGTGACCCAAGTGCAGGACCCGGCCCCTGGCCTTGTTGAAGCTCACACTATCGGCCTCAGCCCATAGATTCAGCCCATCCAGGTCCCTCTGCAGAGCCTTCCTACCCTCAGCAGATCAACACTCCCTCCCAACTCAGTGTCATCTGCAAACTTGCTGAGGGAGCACTCAATCCTCTCATCCAGATCATTGATAAAGATGCTAAACAGGACTGGCCCCAAAATAGAGCCCTGGGTATCTGCTTAACTTCCAAATAAATACTTGAATTCACTGCTAAGGTGGTACGGGATCATGTGTCTGTCCTTGGAGACAGCTTCAGCTGGGACCTGTCTCTTCTGGATAAACTTCTGATGAGGTTCAAACCAAAAAACTTCTCCTCTTTCTCTCTTCCAGCTTCCTTCCTTCTCCACACACTTATTAATTCTCTGCCTTGCAAAAATAAATGAACAACCAACTCTGCTCTGAAAGGTTGTTTGAAGGCAAATTCATAGGGTGAGATGCAGTGCCTTATTTCCATCATAAGCCTTTAATTTAGATTCATACTGAGGGGGAAGGGGTTCATTTTAAAAAAACAAAACACTCTTGGTTTTTGCTTAAAAATCCCATTTAAATCTACATTTTTATATGCAGAAATGTCATTTTAAGCCTATAAATATACATCCTTTTTATTAAACTCGAGTTTCACAGAGACACAGGAAACTTGTTTTGGCCAGCTTTCATATGGAGATATAAAACAATGTGTGGGATATTAAAATATCCACCCAGTAGTTCTGTCCTTGTGGCATTGTTTCCCACTGCATTTCCACACCTTTGTCCACCTCTTTTTAAAATGTAAAAGAACTGAACTATTGATCGGTATTTCGCACTCTAAGGACACAGTAGCAAGAAAATACTGGATCAAAGTGAAACTGTGCTGAGCTTTATCCCCTGCTTCCTTATTATCAAAGCATTTGTTCAACTTTAAGCATTTGAATACGATCATTTATATGCAGCCAAGCACTTAAACTCATGTATAAATTTAATGATGTAACTGAGATCACTGGGGATTAAGGAGAAGAAAGTGCTATGTATGAGTAATGCACTATTTTACAACACCCAGGTTTTATTTCTTTGCCCCGTCCAAGATCTCCATTTGTAGAAATACGCCTTGCTCAGTGGCTCCTTGACTATCAGCTCCTTGACTTGCAACACATATTTAGCTATTTTTACTCTCCTTCTCACTTTCGAATTCTTAATTCAATAAATAAACCAATAAGGAAGAAAATAATCTTAGGAAAATTAGTTTGAAAGTTACCTAAAAGTTCTCAGGCTTTCTGGTTTCTCTGACTTCTTAATTCAAAAATTGGCTGCTGTTCTTGCTGAAGAAGTAAATTATAAACTGAAATCTTCTGTATTTCATTAAGATGGGAAGTAAGCCAAATGTCTTTCTTTAGCCTTCTCCTCATAGCCACAGGTCAAAAGATACAGTCATTTCTGGAAGAAGTGTACAACTCACTTCTCTAACTTGGGCTTCTATTGACAGTTTATTGTCAAGAAGAAACAATTCCTGGCATGCGAATAACAAGAACAGTGACTGCAGCATGGAAGACCACACTAGGATGGAAACTGTTATTTGCCATAGATTCATTTGCTGGAAGAAAATAAAAACAACTAAATTCTGTCATCAAAAAACCGTATCATTTCTAGAAAAAGCAATGTAATTGCTTCTCTTGCATTGTAGATATAATTGGAAAATTTTCAGAGTTTTATGTATAGAGGAATAGGATATGGTACCCACACACTTGGAGAAACAGATGTGGCTTTCTGACTGAAGGTTGTGGAGGTCCAGCAGTTCATTACAGTATGCTGGCGATACGAGCTCCCTTATGTCAGTGGAGGACTGGCTGTAGTGAATATTTCCAAAATCCATACACGTTATTTTATGCCTACACTTTACATTACACTTATAATTCTAGATCTTTATGAAGTGTAAGATTTCGAGTTGGAATGTCTGTGGGATGAATTCCTAGTTGATGTAGTCAGTGAAACTGTTATCATTGTGGCAACTGTGACAGTGGTAAAATGAATTCCATGATTTACTTATTTAAAAGTATTTCTTATATTGAACTTGCTGTTTGATAATTCACTGTGACACCCCTAATTTTTTTATTGTAATGACCAGTGATTACTGGTTCTTTATTTATACATCTCATAGCCCCACTATTGTTGACCCTGGAGAAACTGGAGACTCTTACCTTATTTAGGCTCTCCTAATATGAAAGCAATTCCAGACTCAGTAATCCTTCTCATTTTCCCATGAATGTTGCCATGCTACACCATTTCTTCTTTCAGATGAGTTGATAAATACTGCATGAAGTATGCAAAAATAGGCACATCCCTAAGATATGGCACCATCCAATATTTTCCTCTTTCTCTATTAAACCCCTTCTCATCAACCTTAATGTTCTTTTGGTTTCAGTACGCAAGCCAAGCACCAACGTTCAGGTTGGTTTTTGGTTCCTGTTTTCATATGCATTACTCTTCGTTTAGCAACACTAAATTTTATCATGCCACCATGAAGATATTTAAAGCATAGATAGGCCTCCTCAAAAGGCAAATAATCCACCCTAAAATAATGGATTCCTTGTGTTACAGTCTTCCTCTTCAGCATTAGTCAGTGGAGACCCCACAAGACCTCATTGCCTACATGCTTTCTTCTAAACATCTCTAAGTTTGGGATGCCTTTTGTAGCAACAATGTAATTTTAAAGCAACCATTCAGTTAATCCATCACTTCTGAAGAAGTGCTATTTTATTTGTGGCAAATTGCTGGTTTTCTTTCTTCATGCACCATACTGGGACACTTTTAGTTGTCTGTTATTTGCCATTTTTTTCTTTAAACTCAGTATCCATCTTTTGCCTCTCTAATTTTGTTCATAAATATCCCAATTACTTTTTGGCATTTTATCGGCGCCGCAAGTGATGCCAGAGTATGTCAGACTACAGGGTATTATAGGGAAAGCTATTCAAGGACTTACCCACATCTTCTAATGTATTTTGATCATATGTACAGTCTCCATTTCTGATTGAGGAACCTTTTTATTATACAGTACAACTAAACAAGGCAAAAATAGCAATTTCTTAAAAGGCCTCTGAGAGTACACTTCTTGATAAAGATTGTGTAGGAGGGCAATAGGACAAAATTGGCTACATTGCTATTCTGAGGAATAATCAGCATATCTGAAACAAGCATCCAAGCATCTCTCAAGAACACAGTAAGGGATATACATGTCACCACTCATGGTGTACCTCACTCTCTATCACAGTGTTTCAAACCCCTTATGAAGTCATGAAAGTCCTCCTGTTAGTAATTAATTAGAAGAAAAATAAATACATGCTTATAGTTTCTCTCCTGTTAATAATTAACTAGAAGAAAAATAAATACATGCTTATAGTTTCATTTTTGTATGTACCAAGACCTTTTCATATCAATAATACAATCTCCGTAGCTGAGCCAACTGTTGGGGCTAAAAGGGAATAAAAGTAGATACTGCATTTCTTTGCACAGTGGTCTTTATACAGGTCTATACAGTGTAGCACAACAGATGATTCCCAAGGGTCTGAAATGTCAACCTTATAAGCTTAATAAATGAATCTTTATACTGCTTCTGAGGTGTTGGAATCAAAACAACAACTTCATCCCACACTTGACACACATGTCTCATGTACTGAGGTTTAAATGTCTCAGATTTAAACTCTGTTTTTGACCCATTGGCCATGTTAATCCTGGTTATAAAAATAAGAAAATGAATGTAATGTTGTTTCTCCTTCACCAAAAGAAAAAGGAAGCATGAGGAAAAACTAATCACTGTCTACATCAACTATGATGTATGAGACATCTGCACATTAAAAGAGAGGAGCCATATTGAGGATTCCAAGGTTAAATGAGTTTATTGAGTTAGTGGTTACAATGGTATGTCAGATACCTGTAATCCAAGCTACACCTACATATTTGCCTCTAAATTCTCACACTGTCAGTTCCGTGTTGCTAAACATTCCACCACCAGGTCTTCTATTACTAATATTATAATAATAATCATAATAATAATCATAATATAAAAGGCAATGTCAATCACCATATTGTGCTTCATACTCCACCATAAGGAATTCAATTGGCAAAAGTAAACCTCTGGTCATATTAATGGGATTAATTGAAATGTGAGCAATCATAACACTACTAGAATATAAAGAACAAAATATGGTTTAAAAGAAGCATTTTTAAGATGAATTAGTTTGTATCTGCTTTAAAAATTCACATACTATAATGAAGATGACTTAAAAGTTATATCATTTAGTTATTGGGCCACACATTTAAGCATATTGGCTAGTACATTTTTGCACTGGAACAGAAGCAATACAAGCTTTATGGTCTATCATTACAATTCCATTTTGTTCACTTTATATACCTGCCAACCTAATGTTTCTTGCATGCACAAAAATTTCTGGGTTTAGATTTGAATTTTTTATTTAACCCACACGTACCCCCGTGATGCAGATTCTTTGGCCAATTCAATGCTATAGTTTAGTTTAAAAAGGAAGCCTGGAATATGTCTGTCTAACATCAGAAGAAAATGCCCTAAATTTTGGCATTGCAGAAAGTTAGGTACTTCAACAGAGTCTTAGGTTGCATGCAAATTGAGGCTGCTTCCCCCCACCCCATGCCAGACGCATACAAGTCGGCAGGTATGCATACAAAAAAGAATATAAAACCCTCCTGGTAAAGCTTAGTGGTTTAGAAGGAATCCATAGCTTTAAATTCACTTAAGGCCTGTACAGGGGAAATATGTTTCTTCTGGGACCCTCTCCTCACTCTTGTTTGGTATTCTTCTGGTTTTTCTCTCTTTACTAGAGGCTTCTTCTCAGGTGCCTTCATCTTCCAAGATACAACTGGTGAGTTCACTGCAGCAGTGCCATAGACCTTCTGATATTTCGTAGAAGCCACATACGATGCTTTCACTGTAAGGACCACAGCGTTCATCAGATTTTTAGCTGCCTGGATGAGAGAAGTGGCACTGTCCAGCTACAAATAGAGAAGAAAATGAAATACAGCAAGGTTAGTCCACTACCGGCTCACTGGAGCATTTCCTGACTGAAGTCTGGATGCTCTCAGATATCATTAAAGATGAAATGAATCCTCTCCCCTCAGGATTAATCAAGTAGCTTGTAGTGAGAAGCATCAGCAACAACACGCACCAAACTGTAAAGGTAAGACTGTGGTACCTCACATTAAATTTTTTAGTAATCCAAAGGAAAAGCTTGTGTTGTCTGGCTTTTTGTTGTCGATTCTTTTTCTATGGGTGAAGAAGTTGCCATTTTTTTCACAAAAAACCCATGACTTAAACCTCTAAAAATTTACTTCTATATGTCAGAAACCGCAAAACAGGTCAACAGGGATTTTTCCAAGCGTTCAGGTTTGTTCTAATTATTCCTATTAAGCCCAGGATAACACCCCAATGATGTCTACAGGAACAGTGTGAGGCCAGTGCTGAGCTTGTTAGAGAATCCCATCTGAAAAGATGAAAGGAGATTTTGAAACCCCTAAAGAAATAAAAAGATGAAACAGTTAACTGCAGGTTTTTGTAGCTTCTGTAATATTGGAGCTACTTATGTTCACAAGGAATCTTACTTTACGAATAGCCGGCTTTTCGGACTTATACCCTTGTGTTTCTCCCATGCACGAGTCTGCCTGAGGTTCCTGGGTCCTCTGGATGTAAGAGATCTTAAGGACTTGTTGAACTTCAAACCACTGGGACTCCCAGTCAACAAGTGTCTGTCATACACTGAAATCTAGTCCCAAAATACTGAAAAAATGAATATACTCTTTGTGATAAGGTCTTCCAGTTCTACTGTGGAAGCTGCCTCATTTTTTATAAGTGTCATCCAGTCCACAGGGATGATTTTGGATGTACTATTATTTTAACTCTTTAATTCCACCCCATGTACTCACTAAGTTCTTATCTGTTTATAATGAGCATAAAAGGCCTGTCTCCCTCCAGGCCTTTCCTGCTCCATATTTTGGAAACATACAATTCCTTAACATGAATTCTAAGCAAGGTAACCAAGATAAATATGCAGAAGGCAGTAACAAAAACCGTATTATACTTCACCTCAAGTGTTCTGAACCATTAACAGAAGAAAAGTTCAGGAGAAATGACTTTCTGAAGTGTCAGTGACTGATGTGAACAGGAACAGACATTACAGAAAGCTTGTGTCTGGAACCACATTAATCTGGAGACTTACCTATTACTTTTGATTTCCTCAGCCGTGGCTTTATACTCATTATGATTCATTAAATACATAAAGAGAGACATACAGCGAGGTGAAAAACAAAAACAACATTTTAATGATTTTCACGTAGTTGGTGCTATTTCCTGAAATGCACAGTTAATTGCCTACCCCCAGTAAATATTTTTCCTCAGGACTAATTTGTAATTTCTGTTAGTAAAAGAAGCCAAGTAAAAAGATGGAAAATTACATTATATGGCAGAAACATGACTGTTCAATAGGGAGTAATGAAATATAATTCAGTATAGTGTTATTCTATAACCACACTACTGCATGATTTATAAGGCAATCTGTATGTTTGTTGGCAAATAACAGATCATACTCTATTAAATTAGGATATTCTAATTTACTGCAGAGATCTACAATCAAGCATTATTCATTGTTAAATGATTCTTTGTGAAACACTGGTGGATGGATATTGAATATAAAGTGATGCCGTCAAACAGTATTTACTTCGTAATCAATGTGGATAAACTGCCTGTATTGCACATTCCTGCATGAATTCTATTTGTTGAAGGTTTCTAATAGCCTCCCATTTTCTCACATTCCTTTATGAAAAAAGTTTTGGTAGCTATTTCACATGGGACTTATATTAAGGAACAGAATGACTAAATGAAACATTTTGAAATGAGGCGGCACCCAAATTAGATCCTTAAAACCATACAAAGGATGCAATCTACATCTCTAAACACACTGGTAACTTTATGGAGTGTGATCCATAAAGGTGCGCAGAAGCATGTATTTCTGCAAGATCAGCTGCAGATTGCAACAATGTCTTTTAGAAAACCACGTTACATATTTTGATGCCATTTTAATTACCTCAACTTTCAATCTGCTGTTATGGTAGATAAGAGCTCTCCATTCTCACCATTATTAATCATATTTTAACATGCAGATACTTAATCCTTGCCCTTAATATCCATTCATATTGTAAAAATGCTTTCAAGTCTTGGAATCAGAAAAGAGACATAAAACCCCCATAAGAGTATTAGGCTAAGAGTGTTCTCCAAAATCTGCTGGTGGCCGTCCCGTGTATCCAATTTGGCTACCTAAGCACTTCCAGTGATTTTCTTATTGCCTCCAGCTCCTCGCTTGTCTTATGGCTCAGTAAAGCAGAATTAAAGCGAATGACCATCGATTCAATTAACATTTAGATCTCACTAAACCACCACGTTATTTTGGTTTTAAGCTGTGCTTTGCAATCAGCAGAGCTACAGTGGCATAAAGCTGGAACGAAGCGGCAGTGAATCAAGCCCTTAGCGCGTTAATTCCTTACGAAATCTGAGCACAGAAACATACGCACTTCTCCAAACAGATAACGTTAATAATAAAAAAAAATAAGAAGGAAAATTAACATTTCAAGTAAAAGTATCACTAGGAAACTATTGCACAGTGCAGAAGGCAGACTTCACTCCTTACCATGGTTAGGAAATTATGAACATAACGACAGCTTTTCATGCTGATAGTTAACAGAGCAGTTGACTTGCTACACATAGTTATAGTGTTCTGCTGCTTAGATCTTTCTACAAATGCATTTGCCTCCATTTAGGGAAAAAAGCCCTCTTAAACACAAGAAATAAATTTAGGTTATTGGCCCATAAAACTCCAAGAACAGAGTATTCTGGGCAAAATTCTAAATCTATAAAGAACCCATGAATCACTGCACTGGAGATGGTCACTTACCCAGGTTAAAACTGCCATCTACCCCATGAAGGCATAAATCCTTCAGAAAACAATATTAATTAAAAATTATCTTGCCCCAAGCTAATTTTACAATTAGTGAATGGAAGGGTAGAACACTGGAGCTGCAGAGCTTATTACCTGCCAGAAGATAATTTCAGGGTCTTTTTTCCCCAAAAAATCCATAAGGCTTTGAGGAGTTTTTGATTTGCTTATAAGCTGTGCTGCATTTTTCTTGTACTGTATGCAGAATCTTCCAGAAACTTGTGACAATCAAGATTTTTTGCTTCTTTTACATGCACACATAATCTAAGTAAAATAACCAGCAATTACAATACCAAAATAGCTGAAGAAGCAGGAGAGAATAAAGCTGGAAAATTTTCTCCTTAACAGTAAAGCAAATGAAAAGAGATGTTCTCCTTGCACTGTCACACCGCTGTAATGGGGAAGAATTATACCAGAGTTTTTAGAAAGGAGAAAATTAAATTTTCAGAGATATCATCACATTTATGATCAGAAATATACCACAAAAAGGGAAATTCAGAAAAAAAAATCTGTATTTCGAGTGAGCAAGGATATAGCATAGGTAGTTTTAAAAGAGATGGCTGTTTAAGGATGTTCTATGTCATTATTGTTGATTTTAATAAACCTTGAAAAGTGGGAGAAGACATCAAAAGAACTGTAGATAGTTCCTGTTCTGGAAACATCTGAGCAGTGCAAATAGAGTGACCTGTGAAATTATACGCCAGTCCAGCTGACAGCATTCCCAAATGAGAAAATGCAATGTTTATGACAGACTCCATAAATACAGGGAGGAAAGGCATACAGTTAATGGTAACTACATGGTTTGGTGGGTGAAAATATTCTGAGAGTAACCTACATCATATTTTGATGTGAATAAACTTTGTATTGCATAAAATAATGCTGTTGATATAACTGGGCCTCTGGAAGGCGTTTTGCTTGGTACTACATGATGGTTTGATTAAAACCTATCTGATACAAAATTAACAAGGCACATATAGGATGATTCCAAATTCTCTAATAGCCAAGTTTCCAAAAACATGAATACACGAAAAAATCATTGCTAAATAGTGACTTTTGCAGTGGGCTTTTGGAGAAACCATTTGTCAACTTTACAATATTAACATTTTCTGTTAAAATCTAGGGAAAAAAACCTCAAAAAAAAATCACCGCTAAATAGTGACTTTTGCAGTGGGCTCTTGGAGAAACCATTTGTCAACTTTACAATATAAATATTTTCTGTTAAAATCTAGGGAAAAAAACCTCACTTAACTGAAGAAATTTGCAGATAACACAACAACTGGGAAAGTGGTAAGTCATACAGAGGGTAGGTGATTGGTATCTAATAAGCTGGGAAAATGTAGATTTCAATTTGGCCAAATTTATAGCACATGATACCAATAAGGCAATTTACCCCATGCAGGATCCCAGGAAATCACTCCCTGAGTATACAAAAAGGCAGACACTGATGAAATAGGTTAAATGATCATATTCAGCTTATTGTGTGTCCACAGTTAGGGAATCCTGAGCCCTCAATGCAAGATCAACATTGAGGAAATGGAAGGGACTGAAAGAATCTCGAGAACAAACCCCATCTTTTATGGGAAAGATTCAGTCAGCTCTGTTTTTTCCATTAATTAAGTGCATGATTTAAAAAAGAGTCGGTCAAAATCAGCAAGTACATAACAACAGAAAGGTGATATGATTTTAAATTCAACAGATTAGACAAAGATGTAATAGAACTTGATGGCTGTAAAGTGAAGCAGGACATTTTAGCTATTAATTAGCTGGAAAATTTTAGAACATATTTAGAAAAATTAGAAACTTTTTACTAGTGCTATTAATCACAAGAACTCATGAAAGAGTAATTCTGTCTCTAGAAACTGTGAAATCAATATTGGATGTTTTTGCTTAATTTGTACACTCCAGTTTAAGCAGAAGTAATGAACATGAATGCACATTAATTCAGGAAGCCTATGCATCAGTTGTGCAAGAAGACAGCTTGGACAATAACAATGGCCCATATTGACCTTG